GTCGTGCTGATAAAACCTCAAATCAGATGTTGACGAGCTTTATTGCACAAACAGGAGGTGTAAGCGGAGACTGGAGGCGAGGCGCTGAGGGAGCACGTCTCAACTTTTGCTGCTTTGAATCGCGTTTGGTCGCTAAGCCGTGTACGACACCGCGTAATCCAATCCCGGGCTCTACGGGGAGGCCGGACCCCCTGCTAGTGCATCACCAAAGTGGATTATAGCACAATAACACACGCACACGCACACACACACATTTAATCCTTTCACATTCATTACCATGCCTTCAGTGTTTTTGCTTTTTTTGTCCTGTCCTGAAACATTTTTAGCTCCACATCTGTGCCTGTTTTGTTTTGGCTCTACCTCATTTTTTAATGCACTGTAATTGTATTTTTATTTATAAGCAGGAATCAGTACAAACTCTGCTTCTGCTCCCTGTTTTTATGTTGTTGTTGAATATTTAATTTATGTGCATGGGGGAAATCGCAGAAGAACCCGCCCTGGGATTTAAAGTCGTGTTGCAGGAAGAGATGCTGACGAGACGCCTACAGCAGGTGGCGTGAACCGGAGGCTGCAGCAGGAGCCAGAAGCAGGAAAACGCGATGTCTGAAGCACTAACATTTGCACTACACAGCTCCTACCAGCATTAAATTCAAGCTGCTCAGATTTAGGAACTTTCAGACGATGATCTGAGCTCTCGGAGCGACGACAGCTGGATTTCAGTGAGAGCAAACCAAAGGACCACTCAGGATATTTATTCCATGTCACTGCTTTTCTTTTTTTATACACTGGGATTATTCTGCGTGTTACAGCTGGAGATGTTTTCACATTTTGTGATGGACTGATCCAACTTTTTCCCGTTCTCCTCCGATACTGCGGCTTTGGGAATCGGTTGACCGCGAGCACTGATCTGATGTGTTAAAATAATACCGGGGTCAAGTCCTCACCTTTGCCGTGGATCCGTGTTTTCAGGCCGTGCCAGGCATCATGATTCAGGCCCGGACGCTAAACGCTCACCTACGAGCCCGGCCCGGCCTTAGAGATGAGCGGAGGAGTTAAAAATAGATCCGCTGCTCCTCGTGTTGAAAGCGAGCCAGCTGAGGCGGCTCAGGCGTCTGCTTTGGATGCATCCAGAGCGCCTCCCTTTGGAGGTTTTCTGAGGACATCCAGCTGGGAGGAAACCTCGGGGTAGACCCAGAGAGAGAAACCCAAACCTGAGCGTGATAAAAGCGTGTTCCCATTTCTGCTCAGTCTTTCTTTCCCTTTTTATTCTAAACCGCACGAGTTCTAATGACTGTTTATTCACTTCATCTTTTACCTCTATCACCTCCCGTTTCAAGTGGAACTTCAGAGTTAAATGTGCTCAGATTTGGTCACCGAGCAGCGATCTCTGCTGGAAACGCCGCTAATAAGTCAGAGGTGGTGGAAAGCTCACGGGGTTGATGGAGGGTTGTTTTAAAGGCCTGGAGTTTGGTGTTAAAGGATTATCTGGATCCAGACCGAGCGTGGACATCGACCAAATGAAGTGACAGGCTGACGACGATCACCCACAGAGACTAGCCACCTCCTGGTGTGGGTGATCCTGGTGAGGGCGTGCCATTTGCTTTTACAGCCTGTGATTTGGTCATTCGAGGGCGAGTCGGAGTGATGCAGGAGACTTTAAATTAAAAACACATAATATATCCACACAGCCTTTAATCTGATGACCTCTTCACTCAATTCAGCACATACATGCAGACTTTGGGAATCCACAGGGATCTCCCTCTTTTTCACCAACATCAGCCACAGCTGCAGTAAATATCACTCAGACGGAGCACAAACACAAACTCAAAGGTTTCACTGCCAGAAATCTCGCTCCCGTGTGTTCATGTGTTCATAGAAATGAAACCTTACACTCAAAGTAAGCCCGATCTGCGATTAGGTGTGTGTGGCATTCCCAGTGAGTTTTTACCATTGCAGTTAAAACACCCAGCGCTGCATGTTCATAAAAAACATGATTAAACTCTTTTTTTTAAAATCTACGGGTCTTTATGATGTCAGAGAGAGAGACTCGTGTGCAGAAGCCCCACCCACCTGCTTTTCAAACCTTATTTTTCCAAAAGCAGCCAATCAGAAGAAAGTCTTTGGAGGAAGGAGGAGCTAAAGCAGCTTGTTTCACACTGGATGAAC